CTTCCTTCCTTCCTTCCTACGATATTAGACATGTTCAGATTTAACTTCCTCTACCACTACCTCTCACTGACTTAGTACGCATCTGATTGGTTAATCGGATATATCAAGCGTATCTGATTGGTTGATGGTCCCTTAATGGTAGAGGTAACGGTAGTGGAAGTCAAATCTGAACTTGTCTATTCACTTACTCTTTGGGACAAGTGAAAGTTCCCTGTGCATCATTGCGACAATTATAAAAAGCGTTTCCCGTAACGGCATTTCTGTCGAAACACAGGTCATTACCAGCTTTAATATCTGAAACAAATATAATGAGTATAGTCTACAGCATGTAGATAGCCTTGTGATTTGTATTGTTTGCGATGGACGTTTTTAAAAACTTACCGTCTCCAAAGAGGTATTGACACTGCAGTTCAATATTTCGACAAATGCCGCTATAACAATAGCCCTAAAACATGGAATGAGAGGATAGTGAAAATAATTTTTCTCTGGTCTTTCAGTCCGTACTTCAATTCCATCATTCCTCCCCCCCCCCATACGTCTTCCTTTCACTCCCTCCCTTCGTTAATTTCATTCTTCCCTTCCTCCATTCCTTTTCTCTCCCTCCCCTCTCTTATTCTATTTCTTATTTTATTTTCTTCTCATTCCTTCTATCCCTTCCTTCTCTCCGTCCCTTCCTTCTCTCCGTCCCTTCTCTCTCTCCCTCCCTTCCTTCCTTCCATCCCTTCCTTCTCTCAATCCATTCCTTCTATCTATCCCTTCCTTATGTCCATCCCTTCTATCTCTTCGTCCCTTTCTTCACTTCCTCTAGTCCCCATCCCTTCTAAGAAATGCTACATTCACAAAATTTAACTCACGTCATTTTTCTTGCAAGGTCTACCATTATAAACATGGTGATCTTCAGGACACTACAGGTAGAGAATAAACATCAATTTTTGTACACGTGACAGTTACCAAGGCAACAAAACATTTTTACCATTTCATGATTGCCAGTGCAGTGTTCCGGAAGATCACAGTCATCATACTTTTTCCGACATAATTTTCCTCTGGACTTGAGCTGCAAAATTTCATATGATAACAATAAATGGGCGACTTTTCAGCGAATCTACTTGTACTTACTTGAACAGGCAATCACGAAGTTTGTCGTCTGTAATGAATTTAACTTGTGGAAAACAAACACTCAGTCAGACCATTGTGGTATGATATCTCAGGCCCAAAGCAAATAACAGTAAGAAACACCGTTGTGGAAACATATTGTTTCCTAGCCATGTTTCCTGAAGGTGGACTAGCCATGTTTTCCGAAGGTGGACAAACGAGGATACACTGATTCTCGAGAATGGTCAAACCAGAAAACATTGGTTAACGGGGTAAACAGTCAAAGAAACATCGGCGTTTTCAAATTTTTCTGCAAGATAATCGACTCAGATCTTAAATTTGCTTAATTCTGACGAACCTGACAGTTCTCGCAACACTCTCCATGACTGCAAGCTGCTCCAGGGAGAAACATACATGTTGTTGCATTACAACACTTGTTTCCAAAATGATCACACTCCTATAGAAACGAAAATACTGCATTAGATCAGTTATGCAAATGGCCAACTATGCAAGGCAGCAAACCTTGGAAAGGCAGTTGAATATTAGAATCTTACAATACGTTCTAGCGAGTCTCATTGGCAACACAAAACATGTGGGTTACAACCGTTACATGTGAATACCATGCGGTTGGATGGATGGCGGCATCCGACCTTCGTACAAGCAGTCTCGTGGATATAAAATATCTGACAGTACCTTCTGTGTCCCACAATCACATTGTTCCCCTTCTTCGACAAAACCATTGTTACAAATTGCGTCACCATATAGCTATATTGAAACATAAAGAATCAGGGTTCATTCCGTACATAACAAGTAAAGCAGACTAAACCTGAAGCCAAAAATTGGGCAACAACGAGGTTAGCGAAAATACTAATTTTTGAACTTGAACTCGAACGTGAACTCGCACTGAAATCTAAATTCATTCGAACTAAGGAACAACTGATGACATTTCTAACATATTTTGGTGGAATTTTATCACTTGCAGCAATACCTTATATATAAAAGTCCCATGTATGTATAAGACGTTTTAAAGAGGAACAAAGAGATATTCCTGTTAAATTCCTATTATACAGCAATATCTAGCTGCACGACTTCATTTTCTGTACCAGTCAACAGTGGCTGACGCTATCCAGTATATGTATGAGGTTAGTGTTGCACACAAGTAGGGAGCACACTGTCGGATGGAAAGACTCCGTTCACACGATGACGAACAAATTTTAGTACAGGACGAAATTTTAGTACAGATGTTGAGGTGTGATGGGAGTGAAACAAATCAAGACATCAATCATGCAGTATACCTTTGTTGGCTCATCAAACAAACATTGTCCATAGCCATTTTCCAAAGTATTTCGCAGGTAACCAATACTGCATGTTGAAAATCTCATAGGAGCTTTACTGTTGCTAAGAAATTGATAAGTGGGAGTTTGGGTGTAAGTGGGGGTGAAGAGGGGTGGGGGATGTTAACCATTCTTAGTCGGAGCTGAGAACTAAGCTGAATGGACAACTTGCATTTTAGACTAAAGAGAATGGAATAAAACGCAACAGTTAAAAAGAAAATAATGAAATTAGTAAATTCTGTGTTTGAATAATTAGACCATATAGGCTTAGTACAAAATGATTATTTTTATTACTACGTTTCGGAGTGTAACTCCATCTTCGTACTGTTTATAACATGAGCGGCCGTGTTGTATCGGATATACAAACTCGAGCCGAAGGCGAGAGTTTGTATATCCGATACAACGCGGACGCGAGCATGTTGTAAACGGCTTAAAAACGACTCATCTTACGAGTTCATTGGCGAAGTAATTTTAGAAATAAACGTTGTCTAAGCTGAGAAAATCAAAGTTAAAGTTTATGCAAATCATCATGAATCTGTATCACATATACACAGACTCCTTCACGCCCATGATTTCTTTTGTGTTTTCTTCATGAATTATTGAGTTTTCTAAAGGTTAAAAGTAACTAAAGATATAAAACTTTAAAAACAATTACAAATTTAGACAAAAAAAACTAAATTTGTAATTGTTTCATTTGTAATTGTTTCATTTTTTGTCTTAATTTGTAATTGTTTTCAAAGTTTTATATCTTTAGTTATTTTTAATCTGAAGATGGAGTTATACTCCGAAACGTAGTTATTAAAATAATCTTTTTGTACTAAGCCTATATGGTCTAATTATTCAAACACAGAATTACTAAAATGAGGCTTAGAGAAAGTTCCGTCATACAAGATTTGAAATTAGTAAAATTGCAAAATTTGGTTGCGAAATGTTGTAAAATACAGAAAATATAGCCTTGCGAAGTTTGCATATTTTCAGTATATTTGTATTACGTGCGGAAATTGTTACCATTTTCCGCTCAAAAATGGTAACAATTTCCGCACGTAATACAAACTGAAAATACGCAAACTTCGCAAGGCTATATTTTCTGTATTTCACAACTTTCGTAACCAAATTTTACAATTTTACCGATTTTAATAAGTTCTTTACGGGAATTCACTTTTTTTGCCTAAATCAAAAATTAGTCTAACATGCAAGTTGTCTATTGCGAAGGACGCAGCTCAAGCTAATCGAGTCAAGGGCTTTCTAAAGGCGCCTCTGGCAGCCACATTATGACTCATGTCTGACCAAGGAGCATAGCTACGGTGGAAGGGTCAGTTTCAACCCACCCAGTCAGCATTCTCTGTGAGAGGTAATCGGAGTACCCTGAGCGGTAGAAATTTTGTCATCTTATGTACTGGAATGCCATATGATTTATTTATTTTTTTTAAATTCGAAATTATTTGTGGCAATTGTGCCGAGATTGAAGCGTGTGTGAAATCTACATATGCAGGACGTTGTATGTCTTTATTTTTGGATTTTGCTGCCAGGAAGAGAAATATACTTCCTAGGTCAGTAAATGTAAACATTGAAGTTGACCGCAATGTGTAAAGGGTGTCAGCTAGCCCATATATACTGGCCGTTTGACAGACTCTTCCCAATTGAAGTAGCTAAGGGGCATTCCCAACTGGGTCTACTGGAATATTTTCATTTTTTCTGATGAAAAAGTGCATTGCGTTTGATTTTATATCAAATAAAGTTTTATTTACTTTTTCCCATTAACTATTTTCTCAAAATGTATCGCGTTTTCATTCATATTGGGTGTGTATTCACCGAAATGAAATGTACAAAACAAAGTGTAATCGGTGTACATCCTTGTTCATTCACCGGAAATGAAACATACAAAACGAAGTGCCATCGGGTGCATTTTCAGTGTTCATTCACCGGACAAAACCAAGCTACCATTGCTTGCATCTAAGGAGAAACACGTTGAAAAAAAACTTTCCTAATTTACGTTTAACGGACAAAACTTAATGTTTTACTGAACGCTACACTGCAAGCCAGCAATGTTCTACCAGACAAACCTTATGGTTGCATTCATAATGCATTTACCATCACCATCTAAACATTCACAATCTGAAAATGGAAATAGACATAAGTCACACACTTGCTTGACAAAATATGATTATCTCAGGTCATCCAAGAGAAGCCCCATGCAGAGTATAGCATGTTGCATTGTGTAGCATCAGTTTCGTACTCAGGCCTCTTTGGAGAGAGTTGCGCTTTGAGCGCGCGCGCACGGCATGTTAGGGAAAGACAAAACGGCCCCCGAACCCCAGGTACGTGTATCTCAAAAAAGGGGCGAGGGGGGGGGAGGTAGGGGGAGAAACGAGACTATACTCAAGCTTTAACGACTATAAATTTTCTTCGGAAGAAATACAAAAATTTGGGAAGAAATCTAAAAACAGGGCGGAAAGGAATGATGTCCGCTGACTCCGCTGACAACTATATACATTTCTGAATTTTTTCTGTGTTGGTGTAGTGTACTCAGGTGAATATGATATTTGTGGTGTTACTCTGAGTGTATATCCACACCGGGCGAGCTTGAAAAATATGCCCGGCCACGGTGGGATTCGAACCTACGACCTTTGGACGACCTGTATGTGCAAGACTTCTTGATATACATTTCTGTTAAACATGCAACACGAAACCAACGAGTTATAAAATGCAACACTTACTGCTTTTATCATGTTGCATGCCAAAATTATGTCCAAGTTCATGAGCCATAATGGAAGCAGTAGTTGCAGCCTTGTGATTGTAGTCCTGCATAAAATAACAGTTAATTCTCTCAGTTATTTTTGGCAATTAACAAACACTTGATATCTTCAGCTGCTGTTACAATCTTCTATTTTTGGTAGTATTTTTTTAATTACAGGCCGACATTCATAAAGAACATATATTGAGAAATTAATGAACGGCAAAAAAGTTTTTTCACTCAAGCGCACATAAAAATATTTCTTGAAATTTCTTTATAATATAGCATTTGTAAATTCTGAACGCTGACTGGCTAAGAGCCGTGTTGATATTACTCAATGTCAACACGGGAAATTTTCCGCCGCTTGTAAACACGGAAATTTTTCTTATCCTTCGGGCTTTTGACATTGCTATATTATAAAAAAAAGATAAAACATTTTTTCCGTATTGATATATAGTTATATCAACACTCGTGGAAGTTGGGAAAACTCGAAATTGTATGAAAACACTCCGCCCTTCGGGCGTCGTGTTTCCATACAATTTCTCGTTTTCCTAATTCCACTCGTGTTGATATAACTGTATATCAACACGGAAAATGTTTTATATTTGTTAATTATCACACAACTTGCAAATGTCAAATTAGGTAGTAATAAACGCTTATAAGTTATAACTTGGGGCCTATATAAGCATTTGTTACAATTTAATCTGATATGCTAAGACCTAAGTTGCTAACATTAGTAACATAGAATTAATTACTATTATCCAATATCCAATTTATTGATTAATTGAATAGATTTAGTTAACAGTGAAGGCTATGAAGCACAGTTAATGCTTAACAGCAGTAAGAGTAAAAATTTAAGTGCTGTTAAACCAACTACATTTTATGTTTTTGTTTTTTTATTGAAAAATTGAAAATGCCCCCCAACCTGAAAATTTTGATAAGTGTTTTCAAAAAAAAACTCCCCCCCTGGCCTAGGATCCAAGAAAGGCTGGAATTATTTCCAGGTCTGGACATATCCAGAATTTGCTTCATCCAGTAACCATTTAGACTCAAAATGCAAGAAATATCATTTTAGGGACTTAGCATTAACTATTTTGAGTGTCTATGTGATTAGAAATCGAAAAAATGTCGTAGCAAATTTGAACATTTCCGATCAAATTTTTATTTTGATCAAACATTTTCTGGACAATTTGAATGTTATATTTCATGCTCTCCCCCCCCCAGAACCTTGCAACTTCGACGTATTACTTTAAGCTAACCTGGACAACAGCCGCTGACCTTGCACCACAGATACTTTGTATTGGAGCATATCCAACTGTAGTACCATCAAAATCCAATCCTCTGTCAAAACAGATACAGACATTAGGATTTTGGGGAATTTTGGTAGATGGACTTGCGAGTGTGAATTTTATACATTTATCAGTAGACCTAACCAGAAGAGGTTACAGGTTATACCTGTAGGTATATTGGCAATCTATGTAAATATTATATACAAATCTTTATAAACACTATGGTGTTAAAACTAAAAGCGTAAATAGTACATACGTGATAAGTTGGACATTGTCGAAATGTTTGCCTTTGTGTCTGTCAAGATTGTTTTTCTTGTATTCCAAAAAATTCCTGAGAGCTTTCGAAGCATTTTTGTCAACTGTAAAGAGATCTCTCGTCGTCCACGTTTCTACTTTCACCAAGGCAATTCTTATTTTGTGGAATCGAAAAATCTAATATGGTCAAAAATTAAAGCACATTTCTCTACTACCTACATGAAATTGTACTCGTTAGAATAGCAATGCCTGCAATTATAGTGATTGGTACATGCAGGTGAGGAGTGTTGCAGGGGAGAAGATAGTGGTTACCTTCAGAAATTCTGCATGATGGGTAATTCCATGGTGACTCATGTTACATTCTGAACAAAACTATCAGAGCAATTTTGATCTGGTGTAATAACTAATACATTTTTTTCTATCACATTTTTTTATTTTTGCATGCAGGTACAAATAATGGTAAGCTACTGATTCACAGTAAAAATTAAACATTTGATGATAACATGATAAGATTGGTAGCCATAAATTGGTATGTGACTCATGTTACGACAAGGTGACATGAGGTCTAATATAACTCTTGACAAAGGGCCTTCGCTCGAAACATCGAGTTTCTGCTTATTTTTTAAGGTAGTAATATAACCACTCAGCACAGCATTTTCACTTTGGTACTACCAACACTGGTACAGACAGTTTTAGTATATATAACACCAACCTAACTACTTTTGAATTTCTTCGGGAACATGCATAGGAAGGAGAACCCTGCATACAATGTCTATCAAGTAAGATAGTAATATATACAGGGCTGCAAATAAATATTTGACTTGACAGGACATTTGTCCGATCACTTTTAATTTTGGTCGGACATAACTTGAATTTGGTCGGACATATATAAGTCACAAGATATATATAAGTCACGAGACAAGTATATAGCCATTCCGGCGCAACGTTAAGTAAAATGCTAGAATGCCTCGTAAATTTTATTGCAAAATGCAAATTGAGTGAATTTGTAATGATTGTAAATTGAGTGATTTTGTCACAGCAAAAAATGTATAATGTGACAGTATTTTTTTTGAGCGGACCAATGTCCGATCAAAATTACTTTTGCTCGGACATTTGCCAAATTTAGTCGGACATTGTCCGATGTCCGACAGTAATTTGCAGCCCTGATATATATATATATATATATATATATATATATATATATATATATATATATATATATATATATATATATATATATATATATATATATATATATATATATATATATATATATATATATATATACAATAGTAAGGATTGCTACATAATACATGTGACTCATCATAATACATGTGACTCATGTTAAGTAACTCATGTTACAAAAATATACATCTTAATATTTCAGTTCAGGATTGTTTCCTGCAATAGCTCCTGAAAATTCTTGACAACTTTTTTTTTTCAAAAATGTCTTCACTACCATGGAATTACCCTGATACTTCTAAGAACAAACAAATTAATACATACAAGAGTCCTACATCCAGTATAATGAATACTGAGTTTCAATATTGTGTGAGCCAGCGAGCCAGGGTGCGAGCCATGCGCCAGAGTGCGAGCCATGCGAGCCAAGGTGAGAACCATGCGAATCGTATTTAAAATTATTTAAAATGGTTAACGAGTGAAATGTAAGACTGTATATTAGTAAAATAATAGACAAAATTCAGAAACGAAATATAAATATAATCAAGAACCCAATTTCAATTACAGGAATTTTAGGTGTTTTGAGATCTAATGGACAACTTGCATGTTAGACCAAATTTTAACCCTAGGAAAGAGAAGGGAATCAAATACCACAGCTAAAAGGAACTTAATGAAATTAGCAAAATCGCAAAATTCGGCCGCGAACTGATTAATGTTGCAAACCCTGGTAAACACAGTCCTGCACAGTTTGCAAACCTTGCATATGTTTGTATTACGTGCGGAAATTGTTAGCATTTTCGGCAAATACAATATTGTAACATATGCAAAACATGCATGTAAACCCCGCAAGGCTACACCTTCCGTATTCTACAACATATCGCACTAACCAAACTTTGCATTTTCACCAGTTTTACCTAGATCAAAAATCAGTCTAACACGCAAGTTAAACATTGTGTGCTGGAGATAAGATGTACTCAGTACCATTTGGTCAAGACCAATTTCTTATATTTATTTATTGCACATGGCTCGCATACATCACGTGGCTCGCACCGATCTGTGGTGGCTCGCAGCCTCGCAACATCGGCATGGCTCCATCGCTGGCTCGCACTTTATGTATATCCATGAATACTAGAATTAACATTATTTTCTAACTCTGATGGTCATACCATCTGCTGCCCAATATAGTAAAATCCAGGGGCAGATGTAGCCTCATCTGCAAGTAGGGTGCAGGTTTATCATGTGGTGGTGCATGAGGGAGTCTTTAACTGCCCACTTTCCTCTACAATCTGCAAAGCTACTATATATCCCAACATTACCATCATTTGAGATGACCGAATCTCCATGTTTGCCGTTCTGTTACTTTTTACATCTTGTTTTACTCTGTTTGTTTATAACGTTTATTTCGGCTTTTTATCATGTGTGTGTCACTGGAAGGTTGCTGTAGCACTGTACAGTATATTTACTTGTTAAACATGCTTGTTAAACAGCATAACAATTATACATTTCATATATTAAGATTCTCTTAAACAAAGACAAACTTGTTTAATTAAACTTTAACTTACAGAATCTAGATGATTAGCCATTTGCTTAGCTCGTAATCCAGTCTTCTCTCTCTTCGACTCATACTAATTAAGCAAAATAAATACATTCCTCATAAGAACTGAATTATGGCCTTGTGTGCTTTAAAACATCATAAGCATTGTCATCTACAGATGTCATCACATGAAAACACTGGGAACAAAGTTAATGAGAATGAATAAAAAAATAATTGCACTATAGGTACAGTACTAAATGTACTGAAAAGCTAGAATGTTCCACTATTTGTAACTGAACTGAAAATTCTAAAATCTTAAGGTATATTGATGGTGACTATATATAATTTTATTCATAATACAGTACCTGTCTTCTATCATTTATAATAAATAGTTCAACATATTTTGTTTCACCCAAGACATTTCTTCTGACCTATATAAATGAAATGTACAATCATATATAGAATGAGTTTCACTGATTCTAACTTCACAATACAACAAAAGAAAGTCTTTAAATCTAGTTTTAGCTACATCATCTCAAATGCACAATAATTTAGTCCAATACAGCAATACTGTTAATAAAATCACCAGCTCTATACATAGTAATACCCACCCTTTTTCTAAAATTGGTTGAATGTCTATGATTCATGTCTTTTTCCAATGATTTTTTGTGAGAGCGATGTCCTATGATATAGAAAAATATTAAGTAAAAGGACATACAGAAATTGGAATTTCAAATATATACACTACTACATGTCGAGAGCAGAAACAATTAGCTATTAACATTCAAATGTGGACTATTAAAATTGTGGAATACAGCTCTACCATTTTGACACGTCCCAGCTAGCTATGCCTAACCAACTCATGACATAAATATACATACCACAAGTTGCTGGTTGTTCACTAACATCATCTGCATTAAACATAACATGATCATCCAATATCTAACAATAGTAAAAAATTGAAAATATTAACCCATTAAGTGTCTGTCTAATACCATGCACTCTCTAACTGGGAGAGTCACTAATGTGCTATTAACCAAGCTATTAACATTATTAAACTGCAAATTGCAACAAAATGCACCCTACTTTAGGACACATAGCGTAATGATATAATTTTACAAGAGAAGCGACATAGCTAGGTCAGAGAAGCTACACTCTAAATTTTTTAGAGTAATTTCAGTCAAAGTTAAGCAGTAAAACGCTGAGGAATCCAGTGTAGTTCATGAAATGATTATTAATTTTAAAAACATGTCAGAGTAAGTGTCTGTCGAACACCATATCAGTCTCTAACTGGGAGAGTCACTAATGTGCTATTAATGTAACCAAGCTATCTTTGTCAACACATTATCAAGCTGCAAATTGCAACCAAATGCACCCTACTTTATTATATTTTACATAATAATGTCTAAAGCCAGACAATTTTACTTGTCAAGAGAAGTCCTGCACACTAAGCAATGCACAACAGTACAATACATTAGACTATATCGAAAACATACTTGACCATCTTGAGACTTCAAAGGATGGATATAAAAAGTACCATCATCTGTTCTGATAACTCCTCTAAAATTATAAAAAAAAAGCAATTACTGAGAAGATATGTTAACGTCAATGCACCTGAACATTGTTGTCAATGTCACAAATGTACTGGCAATCAGCTAGTAAATTTGTTTTAAAGGTAATATGTATTGTCCTAATATATGTTAAAATTTAATCTGTTTGGGTCTACTCTTAATATATAATTGCACCCATATCATTATGTACTGTTTGTTTTATGCATGCTTGTTTATGATATTATTCACTGTTTTATAGACATGTTCATCAATGAATAACCGAAGCTAGCTTCTAATTGAATTCATAGCCGTGAACAAATGACATATGATAATTATACTTACTCTATTCCATCACAAGTACTCAATGAAACATCTGAATTTTCCTCTTCTTTGACCGTCCCATGATAAAAACAATGCTCATGAGGTATCTAAATAAAAAATTTAAAAAATCTGAAACCATTTTAACTAGAAAATACATGCATGCAGAAACCTCCGCCTTGCTGACAAAAGTTACCATTGTATTTTCCGAACATGAAGTACTATCTAAAGTTGTTGATGGTAACACGATAATTTCTTAAGAGTATTCTTACAAATGAAAAATCGCCTAAAAATATCACTTTTAATTACAAAATTGTCGATTTCCTAACATATATATGTTCGTTATGATATTATATGTAATATAAGCTTCAATTTAAGGTAAAATTCAGCTACAAGTGCTTCGCAGAACGTTTTAAAGTGACATTATAAAACTAAACTGCCTTTAAATTAATGAAGTGGATTATCGATAAACGTTGAGTTTGCAATAAAATGATTTCAAATTCTCGCATGCGAATAACTTTACTTTGTTTTCTATTTAAAAAATTCAATATAATAAAAAAAGGAATCAATATGAACGATACACTGAAATTATATACTAGCTGTCTTAATTGTTTAGTTGTTTCATATACGCAAAGGCAGCAATTATAGAATCAATATTTAAAACAAACTTTACTTTTGTTAACGTCGGCTCCCTTCTTTTAGCTGATTCTTTCGCCCTTTCTCTCTTAAAATTTACAAAATCTTGCAAAAATGCGAGCAAAAATGAAATATATTTGCAAGAAATTTATCAATCATCAGATCAAGAAATGTTTGCTATTTTGCTGTCGTCATCACAGTTGTCATGTAGTCGCTATAATGCAAACTTTAAATTGGACCAATCAGTGTCCACTATTCATGACAGTCTGCCATATTTTTTAGATCAGTGAGAATGACCACCCACCGAACCACTCACAGTAACCCACACCCTCGCTCATTGATGAACTTTAGACTTGGCTAATGCTTTTGTTTCTCCAAGTGTAAATATATAGCCGGGGAGATCTAGTACCCTCACACGGTGCTTCGCGCCGTCTGAGCTCGGGGATTGTGTGATTATTGAAGAAGCTATGTGTTGGAACGTTAAGCTTGAATGGTGCAGTCAGACCTTCGTGCTTGTATTATGGAGACTTTAACAAATGAATTTAATTAGAAGTATGTGTTAGGGAGGTATTTATATAGATACCTAATCATTATAATACATACTGCCTATACTGGATGGCAAATCGTATCTATATATATGTACCTGTCTTGCCAACTCAGGAGCATCATTTGAAACATAGTGTTCTTCAAATTGTGGACTGAACAAACCCCTATAAATTTGCAGATTTAACATATTAGCCAATTAAAAAGCAGAAAATAAATCTAATTTATTCCCATTAAGTTGCAGCACTCTACCTGAAAAAAGTAAAATCATCTCTTTTTAGACAGAGTAAAATAATTAAGTAGGGCACATTACTACTTAATTAAAGTTATTTACACATATATACACATGCAAGATGTGGTTTGCGGCGTTTGCCCAAGTCATCTAAGTTGATGTCAGAGCCGCTTAGAGGGGGGCAGAAGGAAAAATTGCCCCAGGCCCCGAGGCTCTGGGCCCCCCCTAGAAATTTAATGTTGGGCCCCAGTCATTTTTTCGGGCGTAATATTTTTGTGTTCGGGCCGAAATATTTGTGTTTTGGAAGCACAGTACCGAAATTTGGTATGGAAAATTGTGGAAATGTCCCACAAAAACAATCACAATGTACTTGTCCGGAAAATTTTTTTACCTAAAAAGAAATTATTGTCCGAAAAAATTTTTTCCGGAAATTTTTTTTGCAACAGAGGCCACTAAAAGATATTTTGCCCTGCACCCCGCGAAGCTCTCGGCGGCCCTGGTCAGAGGTTCATCATTGGAAAGATCGAAGGTGCAAGGCAATGAAAGTGTAGCAATTGAAAGTGCCTGTGAGGGGACAAGGCGATACAATAGGACCTAACTATAAATCTACAATATTTTGTATGAACACACGAAAAAAACCCAAAAACATGAATGGAAAAATTAAGTTCTATAATTATAGCATACTGATAATTCCCATCAACAAATTCATTACATTAATGTGAAAAATATAAGACAGTTTACTCTATAGTATAATCCATTAATGGTTTATTCTTTTCAAAATGCCTTTCCATTAAAACCATTCAAATTATTGAAAAGCATTGATGTGAAAATAATACACGTACAAACTGTAAGAATTTTGATTCAACATTACAATATACACATTACATCAATAAAAACCTATTAACATCACCTAATATCCATTGATGGGTTTTACAAATAAGAATATTATTATTTCCCATCTTCAAAACCATTAATGTTTTTGTAAACAACAATTTCCTATGTGCAACATCTGATTGGAACCCATTCTTGATAGGTTTTCACTTGTTTCCATCTACCAAACTGACATTACGTCATTTGATCAATTTCTAAAGTTGTTTCTTTTTGGATTTTTTAATTAATTTGGTATGTATAATTACAATGACATCACCAACCTCGTAGCCAGGGTCCCGTGTTTAAAGGTTCTGGTAATTAAGTAATCTTCAAGATTTGTGACGTCACACGATCAGAGTTTGCCAGGGTCCCACTACGGGGACCCTGGGTACACAAGGTTGTGACATCACAATATAGCACGTACAAAAGTACCACCCCTTTACCACTGTTACTTCTCTGAACAAATAATTGACACATTTGATTTGTCTGGTGATCAGTGTGGTCAGATTATAATTGACATAATATTATGCTAAAACCATATGAGGCTAAACACACATGGTATGTAAACTAACCCAATATTTTAAAACATCTTTGTGTTGGAAAAGAATAACAGGAAATGCGAGACATAATATCCGTAATGATATGTATAGTTGAATATTCATTTGGGGCAAAAATGACAGAATTTAGAAAAGGATGTTGATCTTTGTTTGAAACTCACGTGTTAAGGTATATGTCCAGATGAAAATGCCTTTTTTTACCAGGAAATACAATAGTTGTATCTTGAAGATGACCAGACTATCGAAGCAAATATAAAGCACAACATTATATAGACAGATAAAATTTTATTTTTACAGTAATAACTATAATTGGAACAACACGAGATATTAGTGTACAAATACTATAATTTAACATATATAATAACCAAATATTTTGTAAATTATAGCAATTTGTTTTACACCATCATTTAAATTACATCATTTAAATTAAAAACGTTTTAATACATACCGACACTTTTGTGGAAGCGTGACGTCTCGCTCGACCTTCAAGCCTGTACGGTTTAATAACCTCGTATGATTTTAAAGTTTTTAATAGTTCAGTATTGTGATTCAGTATATCTTCTGTCAACTTTGCATCTAAATAATTACAAACTTTATAAGTATATTTCGAATAATTCGAAATTTTACACTTTACCGTACCGGAGTAATGTCTCAATCAATTCCATTGCCCATCCCCTAGACTGCGAGCAATCCCTCTATTTTCCTTCGTTTTATTGTTTCCCGGACTAAGATTGAACGCGCGGGAAAATGGCAAAAAGGGGCGGAGACCATAGAGATTATAAATAACACTAGAGGAGGCATCGAGTTTAAAAATTGGGAACGCAGCTAATGGGGGGCAAATTCAAGTCCCGGATATAAAATCGTGCTCTCATTGACTGACTTGAAACTCGTCACCAATGGGAACGTGAATACACATCCGGGACTTGAATTTGCCCCCCAATAGCCGCGTTCCCTTTTATGGTGCTGACTTCGTTGCTGCCTCCCAGCATAGACCCTGCTGTACCACGGGAAGGTCCCACAGAAATTCTGCGGGGCCTGCAGAATCGTGTAAAAAATTAGCCATTCTTTTGAGAATTACATATGCGATATAAATTAGGATAATTAACTTGCGATCGTTTGAGCCAAAATCGTATCCGATTGGTCAATTGCATTTTTCCTCAGCAACCATGAAAATTTAGTACATTTTGTACTAATTTATTTATTTAGTACATTTTTGTACCCACCGTCTGCGACGCAGGCTATATAAAAAGCCGATATAAAGAGTTTTTTAAGCCTTCTGGGTAAACATTTGCACCAATTTTAGGTCCTAAACAACCTTTAGTGTTTTAAATTGCTTCAAAGTATGTACACTATATTGCTAGATTTAACGAGCCCCCTGGTCTCTAGATATGACCGGATAGTTTGGCCATAGCCCACTGATCTCTAAATACTCAATATCACTGGATGGATTCCACTGATCTTTAAAATAAAACTGGATAGATATTCCTAAACGTTCCAATATTAAACATTTTGTAATATTTAACCACCCTGACAAATAACAAGTATTTTAGCACAAAAAACAACAGAATTAGAACAGCGATAACAATTACAGTGAACAAGTATAACAACAGGAACCCACGAACGCTTTGGTACCTATTTTTACGATATACACAGATAGCGGCATTTCATGTTTGTGTTTATTTTTAAGTTAGAAAACAATCATGGTATAAGACCACCACACTTATACGATTACAAAAATATAAGCATAGTACCACTTGTAGTTCAGAATTACCATACGTAGTACCACTTGTGATTCAGAAGTACCACGTGTAGTTCAGAATTACCATCACTTGGCCAGTAAAAACATCGTAGTTGAAAATAGGTAGTAAAAATATGCGATTTACAAGTTCATACATGGGTAACATAGCATGCGCTTATATTTCAGTACGGATGGTAATACATTTAGATATAAATATCTAGACTTATGACAGACTGTGAAACGAGAAACATTTTTATAGTTGCAGATAAAATCGTACGGCACTTTAATTAGCCATTCCGAAGTTGATGAGAGGACTGCGGACGAGTGTTAAAAGTGCCCAAATTAAGAAATGAACCAAATGACTAAAAAGACCACCTCAAAATTAGTAAGTATACAAAGTTTGAAGACGTTTACATGAATACCCTTCCAATAATAAGCTTTCGAAAATTGTGAAATTACTGATTAAAAGATTGTTTTTGGGACGCACGTCCCAAAAACAAAAATTACAATACATTTCAGTAAATATCACCATTTTCGAAAGCTTATTATTCGAAGGACATTCATGTAAGCGTCAAACTTTGTATACTTACTAATTTTGAGTCTTTTTAGTGATTTGGTATTTCTTAATTTGGGCACTTTTTAACGCTCTTCCCCAGTCCACTCATCAACTTCGGAATGGCCAATTAGCTCTGCCAATAGAGCACGGCCAATTAAAGGTGATTAGTAATCAAAGCATGGTTTCCATTCGGTCTTTATATCTATGACAAGTTTTCATGCGACATGTTTTATTTGCTCCTTCGCCAAGTTTTTCCAAGACAAGTACACTTTTTCAAAAGCTAACAAACTAGCTTTTGAACAGGTGTGCATGTCATAGAAAAAATAGGCAAAGTACAAATTTTGCTTGTCTGTATGGGTTAACAAAGAAAATTTGACAAATTAATTTGAGCACTTGTTGTTGTACTAGCTATTGTGGCGGCCTGAAGACATGGGCCTTGTCATGAAAAAATGTGCTCTGAACGTACTACTCACGTGCAAATAAAACTGGTCATATGAAAATTTGTCATGTGTAACCACAGATCTGAAAACTGGGTACCATTTGAATTCAATGAACCAATTTTGAGAAAATGTCTTTGCCTGGCCTACCTTGAAACATACAGCTCCCTCCCCGCATCTCTTTTAACGAGAACGTTTTATACAGGGTTCGTACACGTCAGAAAGAGTCAAATTCAAGGACTTTTTAAAGACATCCAAGGTCATTTATCAGCAAATTCAAGGAGTAAATACTGAAGAGAAAGCGTTAAAAAATCTGACGTTGAATTGTTCAATTTCCGTTTTGAATGTCAAACAATTTCAGAAAATATTCATAAACTAAAGCAAAAAGAATTTAAGAACTCTCAAGTACTTCTTTACAAATTCAAAGATAT